AAAGACTGAATGAACTGTTTAAAGTTTCTCCTGAGCAATCATCCACCTACAGACAGCGTCGGCTCATCATAACAACAAACCATTAAATGTTCCACACTCTGCGGTATCCTCTGCCAAGAAACAAACTTATCCCCCGCCCCCCCCTGCAGTGGCAGCACAGTGTACATGACATCTAACTGGGCAGCGTCGTCCTCCTGCTAGGTAGAAGTCTGACTGTTAGTTAGGAGGCGCATGCATGGATTTATCTTTAATCCAGCATGTCTGACAGTCTGTTCAGCAAGCTTCATCTGAATGAAAAAGCAAACACTGAATGGGCTCAGATCCTAGTTTGCAGGAGACTCAAACATTCAATCACAAATAATACAGCTGCAGCTAAGCTCCTGAAGCCTCTGTAGATGGATGACTGACTATGCAGATTTGCTAACATGATCTCAAGAGCTGACATGACTGGATGGTTAAAAAAAGACAGGAGAAAGAGAAATGTTTATACAATTGTTTGTTGTTGGTGTTGAATGACACTGACATTTTAATATATGTGCATAGTATGTAAAACTCTGTATCGGTATATCCAGAGTTATTTTACATACAGTAAAATGCAATGTAGTAATTGTGAGACTTATTTCACAGCGGCCTGAAAACATGAGCAGGATTTTATTACCTCCATCCAAGAGGTTCTGATCTCACCAACATCTGTGTGTTTGTTTATCTGTTATACAAAAATAACACAACGGATTTTCACATGGTGGGGGGCTTCGCTTCTTCCTTTTTTATTTCTATTAAAAACTAGAAAATGAAGTGTAGGACTATCCAGCCCTGGCGCAGGTTTACACCACAGTGCTATTCTTGTTTGAGATTAAAAATGATTTAGAACATCAGCAGACTCAGGCCTTTCAGTTAGTTAGATTTACTGGCTTCACTATCGTATGTTAACACAAAAATATACAACATGAGAAAAGGCCATAAAAATCCATATATGGTAATTTTGTTAAATGCATGAGGAGTGAATCCAGTTGCACAGTTGCTGACAAGCCCTGAGGGAGAAGGTGTGTAAATAACATTGGCAATTAGCTCGGTAATTGGGATGTCTTGGCTACGCCTTAAAGACAGTGTTGGGGTGATCCTGTGTTTTTTTTGTAACTTGATGAAAAAAGAAAAGTTTTCTGGTGGAGTACCTTATTAACGGATGTTTTCTGATAGATTTAAGTTTCCTCTGAAGACAGATCTGTTCGGGCTGAATACTTTGTCCTGTGCCAGTCGTCAACTGAGAGATTTCTTCTTCTTGTGTCTGACAGCTGGTATTGCAGCTTACCTATCTGGCATATTACCCTGTTTATTGGCTTTGAAAGTCAACCTGTCTTTTAACAGACCTGTAAATGCCACCACCCGAACTTCCCAATTTGCAGCTATGGTACAAAGGAAGGTCTCTGGACAAACTTCCCGTACCATCTGTTTTAGAAACTATGGAGGAATTTTAAAAAAAAGAAGCTAATTGACTTAGGTGGCGTTCATTCATTCATTAATTTCAGTGGAATTAATCACTGTACTTTCATTTCCCTCGTTAGGGATGAACTAAAAAATGCTGACGTGATAAGTCCTGTAAAGAAATCTCAAAAAATAATGGTGTTCCATCAAACAAACATACGCCTTCATTGTTCTTTCCGAGCAAAAACAGTTCCGCAGCAGACTGAATAATAAACTTAATGAATGTAGATGTTTTTCTAAGCACTTAAACAGATCAAAATTGCAGCATTTCAAAGTCTCTAATGAAGACGTCGTGTGCCAATCTGTTCACAGTGAAACAGTGAGAGTTAGTGAAGGATGACATTGCTTTATTTCAACTCTTACAAAGGAAGCTGTTTCCCATCATTTACAGTTTATTCATAATCAGCCAAACTTCAATAATAGTGACTGTGTTGCTCTATTCCTCTGGGCTCTAACACGTCCCAATGGAGCTAATTGTTGCTTTCTCATTTCGTGTCTTCATCTCACTTGGCTACATTAATGAACAACCTAGAATAAATATGGGTTTTGGATCATTTTTGCAAAAGATTATTAAGAATAAGGAGTCATTACTCACAGTATGATTGATGTAAAGCTGCAGGCAGCTAGAAGCACTCAAGGTCAGTTTGGTTAGATTATTATTATTATTACCATTTACCACAACAAAGTATTTTTTTAAACAATACTACAGCGGCTGCAGTGACACGCTATACCCTACATAAGAAATACATGTTACCGTTGCAAAACCAAAAATGTACACAGTCGGACAAACCCCTGTGAAAGTTTTTACTGTCATTTTTAAAGTATAAAAAATATGTTTTAGGTCATTTAGGAAGTATCTCAATAATATAACTAATATTACATAATCCATTAGAGAGTGCCATCTTATTTATTTTTAAATTCAAATAAGTATGAGACAGATTTTTTCCATTGAGGTTATGTCTATTTGATATGTATTTATTAAAAACATATACAGTATAATATGTAAATATAGAAATAATAAAACATGTGAATCACCATACTGTATGTTCCTATACAACGTTTTGACAGCAGCTGTCAGGTAGTAAACGTATATAGTCCTGTGGGCTCATATGCAGCAGAGGACTGGTTTAAATATCCATACACGTTTTCAAGATGCCCTCTGAGACTGTTATGAAGGACTTTATGAAACAACTTGAAAGGACATTGGTGATTGATGAAGTTATTATTACAAATCTATTCTTTTAGCCGCTCTTCTTAAATTTCGATCAATAACACAGGTGAAAGTAATAATACTCCCTCTCTCTCTCTCTCTCATCCATTTTTCTCTGCGTCAGACACCCCTGTCAAAATCACACCAGGACGTCCCATTGTTTAAGGACAAACCAATGAATAAAATATAAGTGAAAATTGTATTTTTCATATGAATAATGTAAAAGAGGGCAGGCTGTTGGTGTCCACGTCTCAAGGTTAGACTATATTGTGAGTTTCCCCACCAAGCCTGAGCTTTGTTCTTGTTTGGTACAAAATGAGAGGATCCAATTCTATCAAGTGTCTTATTCTGAGGGACACTTTGCCTCATTGAGCACGATACGATATTCCAGCGACTTGAAAGAGACTTTCCACACCCAGCGTGCGGCATGTGTCGAGTGCCGTATGGCGCCACTTGGGAAAATGCACTAGAACTTTTCACCGCAACCAGCTTCTGTCGTGGCCACGATCAACTGCTTCCTATCCGGGGGGTAAATTGAAGGAGATGACGGACAGCACTGATGGAACACCGGAGCAGAATTATGTGCTGAAATGATTAAAGATGACACTTAACTGATGGCTTCATGCCAGAAAACTGTTCTCCAAGGGACTCTTACATTGATGTGTGACTCGTAATCAAAATACAAACCATAAAATCTAAAGGTTTACATTTATCATTTGCTCCATATTTGATCAAATGAATCATCTCTCCATTAAGCCGCAGATACGACCAAACTGTGTTAGACTGACGTGCAAAGAAAACCAGAGGGGAAACATACTTTTGCATCAGATAAATACTGAACTGCCACCGTATGATACATGCAGAAAGAAAAAGAATCTGTGAGTCTGACTTTTCTGGGCTTTGGTGTTGTTTGTGTGCTCCTTATTTAAAATATACAGACTTTAAGTAATCAATCGTGATACATTTAGACTACAGTATACCAGGCATATTCTATTTCCTGCATTACTTAAGAGAAAACAAAAACCTGTAGCGACACTCCTCTTTCAGAAGTGACATTTTAGCCAGAAGATGATTTATTATATTCAAGCAAAATCTAAAACTGTGACAGGAAAGGCGTCAAGCAGTAAAGGTTTGATGGTGAAGTGACAGATTGTTTTTGTTGTTATTCCTGACAACTTCATACTTTTCATTGTTTTATGTGAGTATTTAGTGAGTATTTTCGGAAGTAAAATAAAAAAAAACAAACATTTCCCACTGTTCCACTGCTGCACTCCTCTATATGTGAGAGCTGCTCCCTGGCTCTAACCTTGAAAATGTACGACTTCATGGGTTGATGTGGACCACCTGAATGCACAATTTGTTTTGGTCTCTGGCCAGACCATCTCATTTTTGGAAGGAGTTGCAGGCTCAGCTGAGATCTCTGATCTTCTGAAATCCAATCTTTGTGGAGCATATCCTTTGAAAGATCCTGCCTCTGAATTGGAACGGAGCTGTTGGACCTGCTCAGCTTTCATCAGACGCTGCTGCTTCTTGTTAACATCAGTTCAGCCAGACAAGTCAAGCAACTGCCATGATTTTCTCCAAGTGGGAATGTTACACAATCCAAGGACTAAAAAACTTTCAGATTCGGCTCAGCAACATACTGACTAATCTCAGATGAGAGGGCTGCAGCAGAGTATCCTAAAGAAAGGCAACTATGCTTCAACTAAATCTAAATGTTTTTAAATGCAAACACCTTATGTTGTCTAAAACTCACCAGATTAGTAATTAGTTATATGGATATGTCAAATATGAAGATTGTTATTTACCTTCCTGGTCTCATATACAGTGCTACATTCTTCATGGTTTGCTAAAAGTCAAAAGGCAAAATAACAACAACACAAGATAATAAAAATCCCCCCAAAACAACTTTGCCCATAAGCGTAATTGAATAGGACTGCTCATACCTCATCTCTGACATCAGCAGCAAGACAGTGTGCACCACACAGAGCTAATAAATACACTCAGCTGCTGCAGGACACAGCTTTGGTCCAGCAACCCACTTACACAATGCAATAATGATAAATACAATATTAATTGTTATTACTGGTATTATTACTTTTATGATTATTATTATTACTGGTATTATTACTTACATTGATTATTGTTACTGGTATTATTACTTTCTTTGATGATGATTATCATTTTTTGGTAGTAGTAGTAGTAGTAGTAGTAGTAGTAATAGTAGTAGTATCAAAAATCCTTGTACCATAAAGTACAGGGCTGATTTCCTCCAACGCATGCGTACTGCGTCTTTAAGGAGGACCCCGCCCACTCAGCATGTGACACAACAAGGAAGTAGAAATTTAACTTTTCATTCAAAGTCTGACTTTTTAAAATCCCGCAGCTCGTCTGTAAACAGCTGGAGCGCGGATGTTTCTCGTTCTGCGGCGGCTCGAACAGAAATGACTGAAGGAAAGAACTCCCTTCTTTATTTGACTCGGTTCTAAAGTCCGTGTGACGTTATCTCACAGCAGAATGTTTACATCCGTCCTCTGCACGGTCACGTTACTGTTCGCACTCGCTCACGCGTCTCTCCCGCTCGTCATCAACACGTGGCCTTTCAAGAATGCGACGGCTGCAGGTAAGAACTCACGTTATCTTGAGTTTCCTACAGGACAGAGCTCGTTCTGCAGGAATCTACAGACATGCAAATACTATGCACCCACTTAACCATCCATAAATAAATATATATATATGTGTGTGTGTGTGTGTTTCCACTTACAAATTGTTTTCGTGTGTGTGTGTGTGTTTATTATCTCACACAGAAGTTACAGGGAATTATGCACAACACGTGTTTCCTCTGTACTGAAACACTTAAATAAAAACAGCAGCTTGGCCACTTCACCTGCTTTTTCCTTTTCCATTTTTATGCAAAGAACATTTGTGACAATGCCATAAATCCAGCGACAGTACAATTATTCAAGTTTTCAGACAAAGCTTTGGAATTGAGCGGTGACATTTGAAAGAGAGGCAGAGGTTGGCTGAACCTGGCTTCGTGTTGACAGTCTGATACGACTCATCTTACCACAGCACCGTCTGCTGCATGTTTTCTTATAACAGCGACTACGTGTGTAACAGTCTAGTTAGCTGCAGACTGCCGTTGTAGTTTCGTAAATTGATTCCGGAGACTCGTTTTACTGGGCTGTTACGAGACATGGCTCATCAAGGTGGCTTCAGACGACATCCATGACTTCTGGAGCTCTCAGAATGTGCTCGTCTCTGTCAGCCCTGATGGCAAATTGAGTCTTTTTTTGGATTTGTACTTTCGGCTGTTAAAAAAAGGAAAAAAAAAAAAAAAAAAACATTTTAAGATGTCACCTCGGGCTGCAGGAAATGGTGAAGGCCAGTTCAACATTTTCTGACGTCTTAAAGATGAAACAACAAATCTATTGATCAGCAAAACACCAATTATATAATATGAAAGGAGATAAAGGGATTGATGTGTGTGTGTGTCGTGCCTGTATAATTAAGTGCAAACACTGTCAGGCCATATAACAAGGATTTTTCAGGATTTCCTCCCCACATTGTTATAAAATATTTTGTAGCAGCACCAGAAGCTTAAGCGCACAGGTATGTAAGCCCATCAGAGTCTTAGATGCCGATAGGAAATGGGCCAAACCCACGAGGCATCGTAACTGCCACTGCCAGCTCTGCCTCACTCTATTTGATTTCCTTCAGGATGATACATTGGACACGTTCAAATTGAAACTGAAAATATTTCAGCATTGCTTTTCACTTAGCAGTCAAGTGGTTTTCCAGCGGATGCACAGCCCGACACCGGAAAAAATGACAGGGACTGTGCTCGAAACATCTCAAGCAGCAGATCAAACCGGCAGGTGATTAAAGTGAACTTAAAAATCTCACCATTTGAGATGGATACCCTTTAATTTATCAGATGTACGTCACATCTCATCCCCGAGGCAGCAATGAAAATGAAAAATGTGCCCAGCTATCTGTTCTGTGGGTGGATATTTAAAGGTGCAGTCTGTGAGCTACCTCTATTGATCCACCCGTGCAGATCTCTTATGCTTTAGGGGGCTTAAAAAAGCAGCTGACAATAGGAGGCTAATCTCCTCTTCCATTCTGCGGCATTTTCTAAAGGATTGCAATGTGGAGTTTGATATTAAAAAAAGAAAAAATATTAATAATGATATCCTCAGTCATGAGCACTCACCAAAGATGGTAGATGAACAGAATTTAGAGATGGAGAAATCCTGACTGATAAGAAGAGGAATTTGTGGTCGTATCTCGCTAAAAACAGATTAATGGTCTGAGAATTTAGTGGCAGGCTGGTGACAGTGCTACCAGTTGGTATTTTGATCCCCTGTGGGCACTCGGGGGGGATCAGCGGGGATCAGTGACCAAATGCTTGTCAGCTCACACTGGCTGTTTATTAGCAAATCACTGTAGTGGACATCTCCTGCATCGTACAAACTTTTAATCTGGTTTGGTGGTTTTTTTTGCAAATAGAATCAGAAATGCCTGAAAATAACAAATATCACATAAAGTCAAACAATATCTAAGTTGCAAAAACATTTTCTCAAGAGGTTTTTTTAATCACAGCAAGAAGATTCTTGGTTTGAATCCTTACGTGTTAGTTTTCCCGCCTTGCCCAACGTCACCTGGGATTGGCCCCCATGCGATCCTCAAAGTATAAGCGGTGGATGACAGACTAATTGGAAGTGTGATTTAAGACAGAGTCAATCATCGTTAGTTAAATAGAAACTTGCAGCACAGATCAATCCTCCACATCCACAGGTAACCTTGAGATGCATAAATATCTTGCAGCCCTGATGACATGCACAAAATTCCCTCTTTGCTTTAATTTCATTGGCAAAGGTTGTATTTCCCATCATGCATATGTTTTGTGTACTGTACACTGGATGACTCACTGTTTCATGCATTGTAGCGTGGAGTGCCCTGCAGTCCGGAGGCTCGGTGCTGGATGCAGTGGAGGAGGGCTGTGCTCGCTGTGAAGTGGAGCAGTGTGATGGAACTGTGGGCTACGGCGGGAGCCCCGACGAGTCTGGAGAGACGACACTGGATGCCCTGATCATGAATGGGTAAATCATGGCATAGACTGTGGTTTTATTAAAAATAGGAAATTACAAAGTTAATTCGTAATGCAACCTACCGAAGCGGTAAAGATCGAAAAAGGATCCAAATCTATTTTGCAAACAGCTCTTTTGGTAAAAGCCTGAATCTCCAGCAACGCTCTGAGCCAGAAAAAGCTCTTAACAGATAAATGGTTTTCACTTTTTTTAAAAATCATAAATGACCTATATATAATTGAAAATGTCTCACTCTAATTAGGCACCTGCAGATTCCAATGTATTTTGTAAATGACAACTTGTTCTGCTGCTGTCTGTGCATCTTTAACATTTACATGATTAACTGACTGACCTTTCCAGTGAGCCTTTCTTTAATAAACCTCCAATTATCAGTCTCATTAAGATCTGAAGGCTTTCCAATTATTAGGCCCTTAAACACAAACATTAACACGCTCACAAGTTATCATTGGAGGCAAATATCAGCTCACAATGGAAGATAAATGCGCGGAGCAGGCTGTTTGTTATTACTCTGTGGAATGTTCCTTCCTCCATTTTGCAGGAAAATTGACTTTTTTCTGGTTGCATAGTCATGAATGTTTTCGAGGGAGCGGATCGTCTCCCACACACGATCCAATATAGCTGCATAAGAAATGCAGTAGTTATCACTGGCAGACATATTTACACCTGTACTATTTCATGCAATCCAATAGCACATTCCTAAAAAAAAAAAAACAGTTTGTAAAAACTTCAGAGAACAACATTGAAGTTTTGATATTGGATTTAAGGGGAGATGACTCAACCCTGTGGCAATTGTTGAGGCTCTACTTTGTTGTGATGGATTAAAATATTAGAAGCATGAATCAATACAATGCAATCCATGGCACTGCCAGTGTAACCTACCGCCATTACAAATGAAGCCAACTTCACTCTTGACACATTATCAAGAATAAACTGGAAATTATACTAAGAATAACAGGTGTAGTACATAGTCTGTGTATAAAGATGGAGGACGTGAAAACTCCCCAAAAGTGGAGCTAAATCATCTGGACTGCCCCCTGGCAGCTGGCTGCATTACAGGTCATACATCCTGCCTCCTCCGTGTTAGTGGATAGGAACCAGACCAAACTAAATAGTCAGGTTACACATTAAATTAAGAATTCTCAAAGATATTTTTATCATTTCAGGTATTTCTTACCGCAATGATGTATGTTCAAGTGCCAGTTTTTTCTAGTAAGCTTAGTTATAGTTATTTGATTCTCTAACTGGGTTGAAAGATTAAGCTGAGACTGATTTGCGATTGGTCAAGTGCAGGAGGAAGTGAAGACACTTCATCCATTTTTATATACAGTCTTTGGTGCAGTATTATTACAGGACAATTTGCCTTACATGGAAAGTTCCTATTTTTCTATTCAATTAGTGTTTTTTATAAATATCACAAATAAGGGCACTGTACTGTGAACCATAGTAACATTTCACGGGCTTGATTCATTTTCTAATTAGCTCATTACAACCGCAATTCACCAGAGAAATAATATCTAGAAAGTTCACTTGAAGAATTGTGTGTTGCATTTATTGCATGTGTCCAAAGTGTGTTTACACTCCATTGCTAATGGACAGGAATCAAAACACTGTTTTCACACATGTTTGGTCTAATTTGCTTTATTACCAGTGGTATGGAAATTATTGTTATGAAGGGGGCAGGAGAGGACGACATCTCAGATGTGCTACTGTTGTGGTTTGTATTCTTCACCAATACTGGTTTTTAAAGCTAATAGACGGGTCAAAACTGACACTTCTATTGTCCACTAACCCTGCAGCGGGACAGTTTATTCAGTGTATCCTCTTGGTGCAGGGATACAATGGAGGTCGGTGCAGTCGCAGACCTGAGAAGAATCAAGAATGCCATCGGAGTAGCAAGGGCCGTTATGGAGTTCACTGATCACACACTGCTAGTGGGAGAGGCAGGTATGTGAGGATTTATGTCCCCCAAAGGTAAACGTTTAAAAAAGAATCCTGGTTAATTTTAGAAGGGGCCAATCTTAGAAAGCCTGTCATTATATAAACATATGGTTCATGAATTCAGTTCAGGAACAACAGAGATCCAACACTGTCCAAGTTTGTTTTAAATACATTTGTGTTGAGCCAATTTGAAAAGAGAAGGAATTAAATGTGTTTTACGCAGCAGCTGAATTTACATTAGTTATCTTCATTAAGCAGGTGTCACATTAGGGCCAAACCCTTTCAGGCACTTATGGTTGCCTGATGCCTAATGGGTCATTTGAATAAGCTTTAATCCCTAGATCACCAGCATAAGCAGTTGGTGATGAATGCATGCGTCAGAGCCGCAATATGATGCTCTGAGCATAAATAGAACGATTGTATAACAGCCAGAGAGGAAACATACAGTCCAAATTGTAAGTATATGGATATTACATTTTTGTTGAGTGAGATTTAATATACAATGTCCAAATCACAAGGGTTCAATAAGTAGTTTGCCAAAATCAACTGCGGAGTACATTCTAAAAAAAGAATTGTATGCAGGGAAACAACCTGGTAGACAGAGGAGCATGAGTCTTGTGGATGACCGGGATATTATTTCCATGGTGAAGAAAAGAACACTTTCATGTCTGCACAGCAAGTCAAAGCACTCTCCAGGATGTAGGCAGACACACTTTCTTTAGAGAGGAACAATAGAGAGGAATAGTGCCCAGGTTTCACTTTGCAAAAACATACAAAAGGAACCAGGTAGAGTTCTGGAACAAAGTTCTATTGATCAATGAAACCAAAAATCAGCCTCCTTCAAAATTATGGAAAGAAAGAAGAAGAGAACAGCTCATGACCCAAAGCCGCCACTATTTCAGTACCGATGGAAGCAACAGTGATTCAATCAGTCTGCCTGAGCAGCACAAAAACATGAAGACCAAAGAAAAGGCAGAGAACTGAAGAACTGAACTGAATCAGGTTGCACTCAAATGCATTCAGAGCCATTTCGAACACAAACTCCAGAAAATGTCCAGACAGCCAGCAGGAGATTGTCCGAGTCCACTACAGCAGGAGAACGTCAGGAACATTCCGGTCAGCGGGAGGCAGGACGTGATTTACATCATTTGACGTAGTTTCCTCTGCAGAAATCACAGGTTTTTACAACAGGAGTTCTCGGTTCTTGTCACCAAAAGCTCTTGAATCTCGTTGTCCCAACTTGACATCTTCGTGGGGATCTTCTATGTGTAGGACAACTTCTTTCATCCTGAGATATTTGTATTCTTTTAGTTTTTCTCCGTCCACCAACCGTTTGAAATAGCATGTTGCCCACTCGCTCGCTGTAAATTCCCCGGACATTTCCCACTTTATTCTCTCTCGGGTTCACTCGTTCTTCAGACGTTTTAGTGGAAATATTCCATTGACCGTTGAAACTAACTCTGACATTTGCGTTTCACATACCAATGTAGTCCGATTAACTTCAGGAGAATGTCTGGAGTTCAGTGCATGTCAGAAAGCAGCATAAGAGACCACAACTAGGGAAAATACAATGTCCCTGTTGTTTCCACAGATCATTATAGTGTGAGGATTTCGTTCTTACTTACAGATGTGGATCTGTCTCTTCTGAACCCTTTCAATTCAGGGACAATGTGTTCAAAGAGTTCAGTCCCCCACAGAGTTCTTTCAATGTTGACGTACTGTAAACTTATTCAAATCAAAGCTGGTATTTGTCACTTTCCGACAAATACTGAAATATATAACACCATAAATACTAACAGTATAATAACAGTCTGTTTAAGAGACTTCAGTTTTTTTTCCATGATTAACTTAATATAGAATAAGTGAAGAAAGACGAGGAGCACACCCGTCAGCTTAACTGAAGGTCAATATTAAAGTCTATTATTTCCATATGACAAGTGTCTTCTAACTCAAATCGTCTGGCTCTTATGTCAGAATATCACAAGAACAGCTTATTTTATTCTATACCTGTGAAAATTCAATTCATTACGCCCCATTCATCCAAATTGAACCAGGATTTCCGTGGATTGGAAAGGTCACTGCTTTTCAAAATGGTAGTGATAGAAGACATCCTCCATCATGAGGCTGAAGCGAGGAGCCAAATTGAGATTGCCTCCGATTCCGTCCTTTTGTTTGTGACCTTTTGTTCTTATTATCATCCAAGGTCAGCGTGGACCAGAATGTGTAGCTTGACCTGAAAGTATTACTTCTCTCTCCGCAGCCTCCATGTTTGCTGAAAACATGGGCTTCCTTGCAGAGGACCTGACTACCAACAACTCTGTGAATATTTTCTCTCGGTGGCTGGGGAGCAACTGCCAACCTAATTATCGAAAGGTGTGTGTCTACTAGTGTGTGTGTGTGTGTTTTCCTCACTTGTTTGGGCTACAGGCGTGCGCTACTTTTAAAAGATTGATTCTCAGCTGGGAATTTGACAGGCCTCCTAAAGTAGTTCATAAAAAGTCAGCGTTTGTGGTAAAGGTGAGGCCCTTCAGCGATGGATTGCTGCAATCCTGAAAAAAAAAACACTCTTCACCATCCCAATAATGAGACAAAATCTCCAGATAGAATAGTTGTTTTTCATTTCAAGTCAGCTGCGCCACAGAGATTAAGGGTCCTATTAATGAAATGTACTTTATTTACAGTTGGGGATTCCTGGCACAAATACAATCCTCTCTATTGATGGCCCCTGAGTGGCTTCACTGCAAGACTTGAGAGATAAGAGTCTCGACAGTAGTTGAGGAAAGGAAAAAAACTGATCAATTCTACCATTGCAGTTTTTCCCCAAGTGTTCTAGACCTATTCCTGCCAATTAATCATTCGGTGTAGCAAGTAGAATACCCTTATCAAAATTAATTATATATATATATATACTTGGTGCAGAGTAAACTTCCATCACTAAATACTGACAAATTGTAGAGAGCCAGAGGTAAGAACACAGTATTGTTTACCCTGCATGTACTGCATTCGTTTAGTGCTTCCATACCATGCACATGTATAACCCATTTCAGCTGTTTGCTCTCATGATGCTCGTTGCAGCTTTTTCCTGAAACTGTTAAAGTGACCTCGAGGACTTGAGTCCTTCAGCAAAACCTGAAGGAAAGTTGAAGCTGCTCCACCGCTGCTGCTGCACTAAGAGCGGTTCAACTGTTCAAAGTTCGGTGAAGCTCGACTCACAGCTGTAGCAGCTTGAATCCGAAGAAATATGTCATTATTTCCCCTTTACCTTGACTTCAATTATTCCTTTGACAGGCCTTTCAGATTGTTGCTGAGGACACTGAGGAACAACTGTACCTGTATTATTTATAACTTAAGAGACCGTTCAAGGGTTTTACTTTCGCCTGCATCAAATGGAATGTAACAGACTTGGTGCTATGAATAATGCACAGGCACTTTTATAAAACAGACTAGTTGAGCCCAACTTTGCTTTACTGATGGCATGATGAAGTCATGCTGATACAGACACACATTCTACATCTTTGTTTTAATATTTAAGTTTACTTTTTATGGCTCCAAGTCTTAAATCTTTACCTCTGTTCTCTTAAAACTCAAAAGTGGACTTTTTTTTTTGCTGCATCCCACTTACCTGCGAGATCAAAGCAGCAGAAGACGCTGAATACAGTTTTCACACCAACCCCCGCAGGTCAACCTGGAACACTCAGTCATTCACAAGACGCCTTGAGGTGGAGATAGAGAAAGCTTTTGTCAAACTACACTGCACTCTGACAGATATTCACATCTTGTGCTCTGTCCCTCTCCAAGTCAACTTTCAATGACTGAGCTGGTACAGTGGGCCGTCTGTGTCTCAAAAAAAAAAAAAGGCTTTTTACTGCTGAAGGACACATTTTTGCAGCAGCAGCAGGAGGAATTCATACTGGGATGTTTTGTTCTCGTAATGTACTACACCACTGGGAACGTGGTTTTTCAGATTCCGAACCAAACAAGACCCCCGACCATTTATAATGACATACCAAACTGATCTAGGACAATAGTGCTGATTGTTTGTAAAGGTAAACTCCTGCAGATCAGCATTTCTTCTTTGTGCTATGACATTAAGTACCAGCATACTGGCGTTATTGATGTTTTCTCTCCTGTCAAAAGAATGTATTTCCAGATCCCTCCAAGTCCTGTGGACCCTACAAGCCCAGGGCGATACTGAAAGAGGAGAAGAGGGCCCAGCATGCTAATACGCACTCCCACGACACCATAGGTATGTTTTATCAGTTAACAGCGAAATGGAAGCCGGCTTTCCCCAGACATTTAACAGTTTAGTATTTAAGCACTTAATTGAAACAAGACAGTGATAAGAGCAGGTTTTAACATTCCCACTGAAGAGATACTCAGGGAAGACTTAAATATTAAGGCATTGAATTTGTGTCACTGTCAAGATCAAGATCTAACCTGATTTTCACTTGGTGTATGTACGAATAAGGGCACCTGAGTTTAAGCAATCTAGTCCAACGCTCCTTGAAAACTGAATAGGAAAAAGCACAAAGTCGCCCACAGGCTTGAAGTGAATGTTTTCAATCCAGTCCTAGATCAAGAAAGAACCTCTTGACATGGATCACTTGCTTTAACATTGCGATATTGACCATTTTCACCAATTTCCTTACTTCATTAGGATTATGATATCTCTGCGGTCAAGTGATGTCTGATGATCATGTTCCACATCCTTTCTTTTTACACAAGGGATGGTTGCTCTTGATCAAGATGGCCACGTGGCTGCTGGTACATCGACCAATGGAATGAATCACAAAGTTCCCGGGTACGTCGGTGATGTTAGTTTCAGAAAGTAGCTAAATATTCATTAGTAATTTTGACATTTGTTCCCCGATGAAATGATCCATTCCTTCAGCTATAGTCTGATGCTCACCACTGACTGTATCATCATTTTTTATGACCTTCAATATAAAATATATTGTTAATGTGGGATTTAAGTTGAACTTTTCTTAAGTTGGTCAAGCTTTTGAAAGATACGACGAGTGTTACAAATGAGATGATGCTGTAAATCTGCATTTTACAGTGTGTTTATAAGCCTTCAGTGCATCTAGAAAAAAAATAATTGATTTAAAATATAATTTGCCCTTTTTTCCTCTGAATGTACATGCATCATATGTGACTCTGCTCTTTCCTGCCGTGCAGTCGTGTTGGGGACTCTCCTATAGTTGGAGCTGGGGCCTATGCAGACAGCTCAGCTGGTGGTGCCTCTGCGACCGGAGATGGAGATGTCATGATGCGCTTTCTCCCAAGGTACCTCATCAATGTTTCTGTGGTGATCAAGGTCATAACTGTGTTTGTTTTTCCCTTGCTGTGACTTTACTGTCTCGCTGTCTCACATAGACAGAGAGACAGCAAAGACATAAAAAGGGACGGTCAGGACACATTATGTTAGTAATGTGAATGAAACTTGGACTTATTTTTTTAGCTTTTAAAGAATCTTTAAAACGTGTAAATCCATATGTAAGTGAGAATCTAGCTGTGTCCCAATTCAGGGTTCGCTCACTTTGAGGCTTCATGTGAAGAATTTAATGCAAATGCACCCGACAAATGCATCCTTCCCTCCCCAAGTAACACAAGCTCCAGTGGGTGGATCCTTCTTGGGCCGACCTATCCCAGCATTCATTATGTTTCAGAGAAAAACAGTTTTTTGTGGGACGTGTTATCCTCATCCTCCAAAGCAGAGGGCCCCTGAATGTCTTCTCATGCCATAAATACTACAAGTGTTTTAACTCCCTGTCTAATGGAGCATATTGCGATTTCAGTCACTTGCTAATTAGTAAATATTGTGCATGACATTAGTTTATCATAAAACTCTAGTCATCTGATTTTCTCTGTGTTTAAAATACCACGAGACATGTCGACTAAATCTCAACTCCTCCACGCACCAGGGTTTTTTTCTCAGCCATCTTTCTGAATAACATAACACAGCCTGTTCTTGACAAAAGAATTCTGTTTCCAAGAATATGGACATCCATGACACACGTTGAGATTTTAAACAGCCATTATTCTGGCGTCAGCTTCTCGGTGCGTGTGCAACAATAGCATTAGAAAGACTGGAGTGGACTATGTTGCCCCAAAACTGTCATTTGTTCATTCCACAAGAGGCGAGATTTCACTAAAGCTGCTGTTTGTTTTCAGGATGTGTGAATATGGCAGTCTCAGAAGATTTCTTTTTTTTTTCCAGCTTTATTTATCCAGGATAGTTTGGTGAGCACACATGCTGATCTTTTGAGTTTCACTCAGCTTTACATTCACACCCACACCTGAGGGATTCTGTTTCAGTCATGGTTTCTCGAGTCACATCCCAGAACTTTTGGGGGTTGAGTTTTTTTTAAAGGCTGCTTGTGTATTTTTCATTCATTCTCCGTATCCAACTGTTTCACAGCAGGCTACATATTTTAATTGATAGGTGTGGTTACAAGCCTGCCGCAGGACTATCAAAAGGACGATCAAAATAGAGTAATAACTCACCAACACCAGAAAGACTTTTTTTAAAAAACCACACAAGCAAGTTTACAACTGCAAGTCCAAAGTTCTGAATCCATATTCAAATGTAGACTAGAAGGGCGCCCAGTAGTGTGCATACGTCCGACAACGCTCAACAGTCTGGATCCGGATTTCGATGTGCACCAAATTACACTCAGAAATATCAGTCCCCTCAACATTTATTTTTTTTTTTTTTTCCACCAACTTCTGTGAATTGGTCTGAGACTGATGAAAAGCGTTCCCTTAACGCAATGAAAAAAAAAAAAAAAAAAAGTGTAACAATCCTGATCCAACCCAACAATCCAAACAAACTAAAATAGACAAAACCCCGGGGGAGGTAAAGAGGAATCTAACTCATAACCATTTGCTAATGTGTGAAAAAAAAAAGACCCAGCGTGGTTTCTACCATCATAAGTATTCCGAGAGGAACAAGGTTCTGATATTTTTGCAAAGAAGAGATGTCGCTCTCATTATAAATGCACCGTCAAGATAAGAGAGCAAACAGCACCTGCAGTGTCTGTGTCGAACAGACAACCTGTTTCTCCACATTTGCTTATTTTGTACTTGTGATCCCCTGAATAGAAGTGTCACAGATGTCTTGTGTAATATGAAGGGAGGTTGGGAAATAAAATCAGTTTTTATATGTTTGCATCTGTTTTTATCCCAGGCCATAATCACACACACACACACACACACACACAAACTGTTGTCGTCATCACCGTGGTTGGTGGCCTCGACAGAACTCTTTAAAATTGCCTCGTGTGCATGTAATCATGTAATCCTGCCAACAGTTACTTGGCCGTGGAGCTGATGAGGACCGGAGCAGATCCCTCAGCAGCCTGCAAGATGGCCATCTCCAGAATCAAGAGGCATTACTCAGAGTTCTTTGGAGCCATCATCTGTGCTAACACAACAGGCCATTATGGTGAGTGTTTGGGTCCACAAACACAGACTGTGCTGCTCCCTGCCAAAGGAACTGAGGCAAACACCTGACACATCTTTTTTATTACCATTGATTGAAATAAATAACGTCACTGTTTCATGGTAAATTCATTAAACTATTTCGGAATTCCCCAAACTCAGTGTAAATTAGGCTAAACTATATTAAAATGTGTGGAAACCGTTTTTTGGCTTCTTTTTTAAAAGATAATTTAATGCGGCAGGTTACTGATCATCCATATGAAAAAATATCTGCATGTATTTAAGAGGCTTTACGAGACAAATTTAATCTAGAAAACCATACACACATATATACGTTGTGCTTTATTTACTAAACTAAACTGATGTTGGTTATTAAAAAATCTCTTTCTAAAAAAAAAAGAGGAAAAGATTTGAGTAAAATTTTAACCTGATCATTTTTCTGCAAAGTTTTCAGCAGACAGTTGCTTTAAAACTGATTAAACCATCTCCTGACAGTGTGTCCAGCACCACCCTCTCCTCTCTGTGACTGCTTTGTTCTCATGACAACAGAGACAAAGTTTAAAAATAATCATAGCAGCTACGGCCACATGCAGTTTCTCTTCCTTCCATCAGAAAAATCCTTATATAACCTTTTCTTTTTCATATAGAAGACACTTAGTCCAGTCTCCATTTACCGTTATCTCCACATTGTTTTTGTCACCTGATCACACATGTTGCAACATGGGTATGGAAAATGAGATATGAGCATAATGACATTAGAAACATCCGAGGATGCTGTAACCACAGCGGCTGCAGTCACACGAGGGGGAAGTGTGAGGGATTTTACAGCCTGAAAGTTTTATTCTTCTCATCTTTGTTTTTATCTCTGATCTCCTTCAGGTGCAGCCTGCAACAAAATCCCTGGATTCTCGCAGTTTCACTTCATGGTGTCAAACTCCGAGTCAGATGCACCACTTCTCAAATCCGTGGACTGCTTCTGAATAGTTTTTATTCTCATGCCTCTCTTTTATATTTAAATTAATTGACAGACTTCACAATGAATTGTAATGCTGATACTGGTTTTATTCAAAAATGAAATAAATTAAAAAGGAAATAAATGCGCATGTCATTTAACAATATCAATTGTTGCTGCTTAGATTTATCAGTTTCTTCGTAACAACTTTGTTATTTATATCTTTAAAAGGTCGGAAGGAGAATTTAAATGCAAACACTTCTGGGCTGAAGATCATTCACTTGATAGGTATTCTCTGCTAAATGTAAATTTCAAGACAAGCATCTGCATATTTCACAAACATCACGATGAAATATCATGACCCACTTATATTTCCATTTATTTATATGAATATGTAGGGTCAGCACTTTTTTATATAATGTGTTACTAAAACACATTAGCTGGATAGATCACCCTGGTCAGCTCCCTGCCCACTGAAAAAACTCGCACTGTTTACCCTTTTGAAAGCTGCAGGTGTAGAAATTCCGACCGTTGTTGGGTCCTAGTTTCAGAACAGTTCTCATTAAGCAGCGTTTGCCATGTTGACAAGAAGGGAAGTGCAGGTCTGCCCACTGCAACAGAGAAAATACGGTTCTCATTAGTTAAAGTGTTGTCAGTTTAAATTAAATGCAAATAAATTCCGCTTATTGTGTTTTGGCTACAACTGTAAATACTTTATTTTCCAGGCTTCACAATGCTATAGAGATGAGTTCTTGCTTTCCATTTTCACCTCAAAGAAGTTGCACTTGGTCTCTCTGGGAAGCGAGCAGGCGTAGAACTGCCGTCCCTTATTCTCCCCCTCCTTGTGGACCACTCGGAGGACAGCTGGACGACGATGGGATGCACAACAGGGGACACTGGGACTGGAGGAAATGGAGGAGCCGCTGCTTGCTGCTCCTGTTTTGCGCGCACTGACAGAAGTGAAGAAGCGGTCTTATTAGCACGAAATAAATTCAAAATAATACACAGGAACACCTGTCACGTCAACCCTTATTAGAGAGCAAACAACCACTCCTCACCTGTGTGATGGGATGTGTCGGTAATAATTGTATTTGCATGGAAACCCTACAGCTACTCATCAATCAGTTTTTTTTAACAATGCTGCATTAAAAATTCCACAGTCAGATGCTTTTTTATTCTAGTTATCTTACTGAAGTTGCAAAAAACTTCTCTTATTATAAACTTATTCACGAATAGCCAAGCGAGAGATTCACTCACCCGGAGTAGGGGGTTCCATTTTGAGCATTGTTACTGGGAAAGGGACTGTGATCAATTCTCATTTTCTTGGATGGGTGACTGTAGGAGGCCAGCGCCTCCCCATTGGAGAGCTCGGCACTTTGCTTCTGCCAGCCACCAGAGGCATAATTGGGGCTTGTTGTCCCTTGGCAGACTCTGTATTTATTTAAACCTCGCTCTGCCGCCAAGGAATTCAAATGACTGCCGGCAGGGGAGAGCAGCGAGTTTACGGGTTTTGGCTTCACGCTCAAGTCAGAGAAAACAAGGGTGGAAGTCCCAAGCGCAGACCTCCAGTTGATTTTCAGCTCCTCTTGTGGTTTCTTGAAGGCGGTGCAGGGGTACTTAATCAAATCGGCGGTGAAGGGGGTTGCCTCAGTGCTGATGTCGTCTTTGTGAACTGTGAAGACGAAGCCGGAGTGAGAAATCTTTTCAGCTGATCATGGTGCACTGGCTGCTCTCGTAAAATGCAGGTTGTTGATAGTGTGGATTCAGAAAAAGTCTCACGATCTGCTGTGCTGGTGATATCCATATGCAAATGTAACTGCATTAATAAAACTTTGAAGCTAAGTAAATGTTTGCAGTCGTGGTAAACTACATTCCCTGGACAACTACCATTCATTTACCCTTGAGCAACGTACTTAGCCCCCGACTGTTTTAGTGGTGCAGTGTTGTGGTCAACTAATTTGTTACTGCAGAAATGCTAATCAGGGTAATACTGAAAAGCAAAAAGCAACTCTCCCTCTGGCAATACGTTGCTATTATTCATTAGTACATTTAAAAAACCAGAACAGTCCATCTGAAAACATTGTCCTGGATTACACTCACTTTTAAATACAGGTGAACTTTGCATATGCGTTTTTTCGTTTGTGGATCTAGTTATTTTATATTTGCATCAACAGTTTCCATAAGGGTTTTCATCCCCTTTGAAGATTAAAAGTTTTATAGCATAGACTCAAATAGGATTTTGTGGCTTTTTAACACCAATCAATGGAGAAATACCTTTTTTTAGATCTCTACCAGTGATCTAATTTTATTTCAAATATAAAATATTTTTTATAAGCTCTATAAATGCTGCCAGATGCTGGAAATTGCACGTTTCTGTTTTGTCCAAAGTGCGGCTTGAGAATGAGAACATCTGACACAACTGCTGGAATCCGTGCCAAAAAAGAAAGGCTGACATACGATAGTCTGCAATTTACCCATGCTTGAAAAGCTCAGCATAACCAAATGAACCATGGGGAAACTGTAGTCTGGAGTCAGTGATACTCATGCTGCAGCTATTCGCTCGTTCAGTCAGCTGTGATATGAAAAAAATATATATTTGAAATGTAGCAGCAGGATCCCAAAAAACCCCACAAAATATAAAAGTACCATTGGGTACTGAGGTTTGGCAGTTGCACCATACGGATAGCAAACGATTTCTTTCAGACACTCATTCACTGCTGCCATAGTGTATCTCAAGACAGAGACAAATGGCCAGTTGACAGACATGCTTGTTATTTGTGGGCCAACACACAGACGCAACCACAGAGAGATCGGTTTGCTCGACTGCAGAGTCACTGCCGCCGCTTGGTGCCTTGCTCCAGGGGTACTCGAGCATCGATGGCAAGCGGACACATGGGATCATTGGGCTAAATTGCAAAACCGTAGCTACTAGTATTTTATCTCTTGCTTACAAGGACGTTGTCGCCCCATTAAATTCCAATTGACAATGTTTTACTCACCCTGAGGTCTTGGAGTGAGGCAGGCATCACAGGCTTTCGCTGTCGGCTGGTTGATGAGCGTGCACAGCTGACAGGCCCAGTCTTCTTCCTCCTTCTTAGCCACATTATCGCCGGCTCTCGGATTGTACGCCCATTCAATCAGGCTGTTTCTGACTGGGAGCTTACTAGATAAAGAAAGCAACAAAAATAAATCTTTGTGACTAAAAAAACTAATGAAGGAAACATGCACTGAAGCTGAAAACACTTCACTGTCTGTAAAGAGGAGACAAAATGAATAATCCGTCATTCTACAGCTGTGTCTCAGGAGATAGAACGGGTCGTCCACTAACTAGAAGGTCAGTGGTTTGAACCCCAGCTGCTGTAGTCTACATGTTGAAGGGTCCTTTGACACTGAACTCTCAATTGCCCCTGGCAGTGTGTGATAGAAAGCCCTGTGTGTTTGTGCTGTGTAAATGGATGGATGCAACCTGTACTGTCAGGCACTCAGAGTGGTCGATAAGACTAGAAGAGCTCTATATAAATACAGTCCATTTACCATTTTATTTTCTAATATTTTTTCAATCTGTGAGAGGAGACTAAAAGCTTCAGAGTAAAAGCATCAAAAACGTCTGTAAAGTTTATTCAACATCCCTTTAAAGTGTTTTAACAAAAAACATCATCTTAGTGGACTTATTTACACAAAAAAACGTAAATTGTTAACATAAATGTTTTCTGCATCATGTATTCTGTAAAATAAAAGCTTTCTTATCATCGAACTTAAAGGAAGTACCGATATGTCTGAGACTCATGTAGGTTGTTTAAATATCATCAAACTGACAAACCAGAAGGGCTGTATTCATTATGGGCCATTTTTGCAAAGGTCATAAGTTATGAAAAAAATATTCCTGTAAACATTTTTTTAAAGAAACTGAAAATGTTTTGCTTGCTGCTTCTGCCTTTTTTGAACAGTTTGCTTTTTTTTTTTTGCTTAATGCACCTGGCAATTTGTTTTTTCTTTTTGGCGAGTGCTAAAACATTTCTCCGATTTGGATGCGTGAACATACATTTCTTGGATTACTTATACAAAAAGCATGTTTTCTCAGTCCTGGAAGTGCAACATGAATTATACATATACATCATAAAACAAACTGGGTGGCCCCCATACTGTAATGGTTAAGGCAAGTCAAACTGTGTTACAGGCAAAGAGAAAACTTGCACTAGGCTAACATTTGCAGTTTAAGCAGAGGATGAAGATATGTGAGAAGGCGATGTTTGCTCCCAGCATACATGTTACTGCTCCGACATGAAGCTCGACTATGTTTGACAAGAAGGCAAATCTGCAGTGCCAACAGTCATGGAGGAGGAGGAGGAGGAAAGGAGCGCTGGCTTTCAGGAAACTTTCCTCACAGATTGCATTTATCAGCTGAGTAATGTGTTGTAAGGGCTTTAGGCTCTAACCCCTCGCAAAGCTTTGCTCAAACACAACCCAGGAGGTGTTGAGCCTGTGCCCTGTCTGGCAAACATAGCCTTACATGCGCATTAATACCCCCCTGCCCGCCCGCCACCGCCGCCATAACACTTCTCACTCCCTGCCAAGCCCATCTGCCTGCAAACATGGCCTCGCTAAAATTGAACCTTTTATCTAAAAAGGCTTTAGAACTTTCAGCAAAGACTTTGGTTTTGAAAAATGACACCTAGTTTTACTGCACTATGGTGGTGCCACCTTTTGAGCAAGAAAACATATTAAAGATTTCAAATAAATTACAGTACCAATTGTACTGTTACAAAAAGATTCCAGGTTTTATCACATTTCCACAAAGAAAAGGCAAAACAGTATATTTTATTATTATTCATAAAACCCCGGATTAAAATGCAGCAAGAAAACAATTTAGTCTGCAAACATGTGGTATAAAAGAAGCTGAGAAAAGCCAGTGTAATAGATGTTCTATTATTCTCATCCGCAACACCGATTTTCCAACTACGCCTACGCCAACCTTCAATGAAAGCATCTTTACAAGAACACAAAACCTTTCCAGTCAAATTACAAACAGTCTATGAGAATTTCTACCTGATGTCAACCCCGCTGGGATTTCCCTTCTGACAGCGCTCGCAGAAGTAAGTCATCCTGCCGTTGTCTCCAAGACGACAGACTGTGATAACATGAAAGCACTGGCCGCACTGGGGACGC